CAGCGTGCGGCACGCTACCGTCGGACGACCCTCTGCGGACAATCAATGTTTCATGCTTCACATAAGCATTCATAAAATTGATTTAACAATGTTTACTTACAACAATATAATGTACTCACCCAAAGTAGTAGGTGTGAGCAGGACGACAGTGCAAGTGGTGGTGGCGAGGACCAAGCCGCTCTTGGTCGGTTCTCCGAGTTGCTCGCATTCCTGCCCGGCCAGCTCTGCCGAAACATCCACATACACACCTTCCTGACCCACGCTAGGCCAGTACCGAATCACTCCTTCCGGTGACACTCCAATACATGATGGCAACTGAAATATAATAGGTAATGTAAAATTTAAAATGTTAGTATACAAAACAAACATGAGACTGGAAACACTTGTACCTGTGCATCCTCATCATAGAAGAGCACGACCAGTTCGGCCTTGTGCGCAAGGTCCGTCTGCGGTAGCGTGAGGTCGCGCGCGGCGGCAGCCAGCTCGGGGCGGCTGGGCCAGGCCAGTATGCGACGCCCCGCGACCACCCAGCACCAGCCGCACGCCGACATGCGCGCGCTTACTTCACCACTTGCTGCAATAAACAGTGCCACTATAAAAATCAACCACCACACCCAAAATCCTTTATTCCATATCATTTATTCACAGGCAAACATAATTCTTTTATTATTACCAAATGTGAGAGCTTCTGTGACCATGACTGGCAGAGGCAGGCCGTAGGTCTCTAATGTGATCAGCGGGGTCTTGTAGATCACATCTCCTGCTTTCTGGGCCCCAGGTGACTGCATGTAGTTGCTACACAAAATTGTTCAAACTTCATGACGATTCAGTACATTCCTCTATCTATTATTTTCAGTAAAAAGTTTTAAAGCACAGGCTACCTTGACTGAGTAAAAAGCGCGTTAAAAATACTAACATAGACAAAGGCAATTAGCATCTCGAATCAAATTTAAGGTGAGTCCATATCCGCAAGATCACAATTACTAAGTATAGAACATTTTAATAGGATTATTTAAGGTTAAGTAAAATAACACCTTTGTGATTTTTTGGCAGACGACAATCCTATAGGTCTTCTTCCTGTAATTGATTGTTTAACCCTTGGTGAAAATGGACTTCTAATCCCACCTGTACTGTTAAAATCCATTTTAGTACGATATTTATTGTTAAAATGAAAAAAATAAGAAAATTGGTTTGTTTATCACAAATGACCGTTAAGAATGTTTTTGACAATTAATTGGACATTTGACATATGATAAGCAGTGACATGGGCGCACAGAATATAAAACATAAACATAAAAATAATTTGAGACATAAACATTTTACACAATTTACGTTGGCAACACAAAATCAAATGTCATCGGAAGTCTGAACCCAAGTAATGTCATTGTCATACTACGTCAAGTACAAAACAAAACAAGCAAATGATAACGGTCTTTTTAAATTTTTAAGCTTAAACTTCTAACATAATATTGTTTAGTGTAGTGTCCGTATTTATTCATTAGAACAGATTTCAACCATGTACATAAAGTCAATTGTTCTTGACGGATTCAAATCTTATGGTAATCGTGTAGAGGTGACCGGTTTCGATCCTGAATTTAATGCAATCACTGGTCTTAATGGTACTGGAAAGTCCAACATTCTTGACTCTATATGCTTTGTGCTGGGGATTACAAATTTGTCGAATGTAAGTTGTTACATGTGTCGTATAAAACTTTCCCGCCAAATTGTTTTATGAAAGACCCAAACTGTTTATAATTTCACGTAATCAGTTTTCTTTGGATAAATAACGTATGTAATAGTTGTAAATACAAAATAATATATGGAGGAAGACTTAACTATATAAATAGTAGCAACATGTATTTGCAGGTGCGAGCGGGCAGCCTGCAGGAGCTGATCTACAAGCATGGGCAGGCGGGCATCATCAAGGCCACCGTCAGCATCACATT